ACTGAAAGTCCTAGCCTCAATAACCCAACTAGGTAGACTGTTCCACTCATCAACTACCCTATTTCCAAACCAATACTTTCCTATGTCCTTTCTAAATCTGCGGGTTCTCTCTTGGAGAGATATCCTCAAGACCTTATTAATATCCCCTTTATTAATACCTATCTTCCACTTATACACTTCGATCAGGTCTCCCCTCATTCTTCGTCTAACAAGTGAATGTAACTTAAGAGTCTTCAATCTTTCTTCATAAGGAAGATTTCTAATGCTATGTATTAATTTAGTCATCCTACGCTGAATGTTTTCTAACGAATTTTATTCCATTCTGTAATATGGAGACCCGGGAAATGAGCTGCATAATCTAGGTGAGGCCTTACTAATGATGTTTTTAAAACTGCAATATTAGCCTCTGAACTTCTGTTGCTTACACTTCTTGATATAAATCCCAACAATCTATTTGCCTTATTACATACGCTTAGGCATTGCTGTCTTGGTTTAAAAGGGTTTCTGCTTACCATAACCCCCAAATCCTTTTCGCAATCTGTATGGCTAAGTTCTACATTATTAACTTATAGTGCTAGGTTATGGACACTCCCGAGCTTCAGAAACCTTTCATTTATCTACATTGAACTGCACTGCCACTTTGCTGACCAGATACTGATCTGTGTAAATCCTCCTGAAGTTCCCTGATTTTCTACGTTTGAATCAATTATCCTACTATCTTCGTGTCATCGGCGAATTGCTCATTTCAACTAGTAATTCCTCATCAAGATCATTGATATATATTATAGACAACAACGGGCCCAAGACTGATCCCTGTGGAACACCACTTGTTACAGATCCCCACTCGGATTTAACCCCATTTATGGGGTAAAATGCAAACTCTCTGCTGCCCATTTCAAACCATGCCTCTATCATGGAAAAAATTTCTCCTCCTATTCCATGTGCCTTATTTTTCCTCAATAGTCTTTGATGTGGGAACCTGTCAAAAGCCTTACTGAAGTCCATATACACAATATCATATTCATTACCAGTTAATAAATTCGTAAGGCAGGAACCCCCTTTGTAAACCGTGTTTTAGATTCGATGATTAATTTATGCTTTTCAAGGTGGGTACGAACTGCCTCGACAATTATTGATTCCATAAATTTTTCCCCCTATAAAAGGTTAGGCTTATTGGCTATTGTTCGAAGCTAAGGACCTGTCACCTGCTTTGAAAATAGGTATCACATTTGCCATTTTCTACTTATCTGGCATTGTGGCAAGCAAAGAGTACGTAACCTTTATTCGGCGCATGTGCACACTCTCATTTACAGGCTATCTCTCCCAACCACAAACCAGGGGACTGAGAGTTGACGATGGGCCCTGTCGTTCAACCAGTACCCAGGTTCCAGCCAATGAGAAGATGGTTTTGGCAATCGCAGAGGTTATGTGGACACCAATCTCCTGTCTGCCCTTGTTATTCCTATTCTAGAGCTGGTTGAAGCACGGCTGCTCTTAGTGGCTTCTATTCTGCCTTGCTTACCCTGGAGTGCACTAATACCTGTCGCTGTACATAGTTTAATACAGTGTACATACTCTGTTCTAATTTGTGAAGGATAATATAAGTCAAAAGTTTTTCTGCTGTGTTTATTTTGCTCCCTTTTATACCCAGGATAACAGGCCATTTGGACTAATGGGTTGTAATAGGCACCATGCCAGTCTGTAGTGATATGTAGGAAAGATTAGCCAGAGGTTTGCTAAGCTTCTCTTTATATTCCTTTAGAGCCCTTGCATGCAGTTTCATCAGGGCCTGGGCATTTGTTAGTTTTAATTTATCTATTTGCCTAAGGACCATGTCACTTGTGACCCTAATCATGCATAGTTTATCATCATCCTGTTATACATAATTATTATTTTCTGGAATATCGCTATAAATTTTCCTGGGTAAAAACTGAGAGGGAAATAATGTGTTAAAAATTTTACACATTTCCCTTATCACTGTCTGTGAGCTGCCCCGAGTAATTTTTGAGTGGGCCTATCTTGTCCCTGATCTTACTTCTGTAAAACCTGAAAGAATCCTTTTGGGTTAGTCTTCGATTATCTTGCAACTTAACCTCATAATCTCTTTTTGCTTTTTTTATTCCCTTTTTTAATTCTCTCTTTAACTGAATATATTGATTTCTTAATTGCACCTCTCATCTTTTTGTTTTGCCTATATATGCCTCTCTTTTGACCAATGAGATGTTTCAATCTATTGTTCATCCCCTTTAGGATCATTTTTGCTTGATCTGATTCCCTATTTGGAACATATTTTTGAGCAGCTAGAACTATGCCCTGGGAAAACGTCATATCGGCAACCATCACCACCTACCTGACCCATAGTCAGGTCATTCCAGTTTCCAGCAGTTTCATCCTATGAAATCAGCCAAGCGGAAGTCAGGGACGGAGACTTGATTGCCATTATTAGGGAATTCCAAGATATATTAAAACTTTAGAGTTGTGATCACTTTCCTCAAGCTCATCATTAACCTCAAGATTATTAATTAGCGTTTCCCCCGCTGGCAGGTTATTTAGTCTAGTTGGCTCTGTCACAAACTGCTTTAAAAAACAATCCTGAAAACGTATCAAGAAAGTCATTTTACTCTAAATTTCCTGTCAAATTGCTCCAGTCAATCTGTCTATAGTTTTAAATCTCCCCCTTAAACACAACATTTTCCTAGTAGATACCTTACGAATTTCATCCCATAGAAGTTTACTGCACTCCCTATCAAGATTTGGGGCCCTGTAAATCACACCCAAAATTAGTTTTTCACGGTCCTCGAGAAGCTGTAACCAAACAGATTCAGTGGCTGATGCATCTAATTTTGTCTTGTCTAACACAACAATTTAAATTGTCTCTGACGTACATTTCTACTCCACCACCCTTCCTGTTGACCCTCTCAGTGTGGAATGATTTATAGCTTTGTATGTGACATTCAGAAGGCATCTATGTTTCAGATTGAGCCAGGTCTCTGTTATCTATGTTTCCTGCACTTGCAATTACTCTTAGCTCATCTATTTTATTTCTTACACTCCTGCTATTAGTATAGTAGACCGACCTTAAGGGAGCTAGTCCTTTGCTGCCCTCTGCTGTCTCCTTTTGTTTGCTGACCTGATCTATTGTCTTTATTTATAACTTCATGATGAATGTCTTTTATACATTTACTGTTTTCAACCCTAGTGTTGCAACCTGACTGTTTCCCACACACACACCCAGACCTCTATCTTCTATCAGTTTAAAATCCTAGGCATTTCAGCAATGGCCCTCTCGACTGAGTTTGCGAGAGCTACCACCCCTGCCCCAATTTTATGTCGACTATTATTATATCAAATCTCATATTCACTGATCAATATATATATATATATGTATATATATATATATATATATATATATATATATAATATATATATATATATATATATATATATATATATATATATATATGTTGCACCAATAGGCAAAACCTTGCAATTCTGATTTAAATAACAATGCTCTTCTTGCTGAATAAGGCAAGCGAAAATTTGTGTCTGCAGTAATTTCGCAAAAATCATTCTGCACTTAACGAAAAAAATGTATTTCATTGTTTGTTTATTATCAAATTATTGTAAACTTATCTACAATATATTTAGTTGGGTTAGGCTAAATTAAGTTGCGTTTGTTGTAATAAGGTTAGACAAGTTTTCTAAGGTTCTTTTGGTACAAAATTATTAATTTTTATATTTTCATAAATAAAAAAATCTTCAAACTAATAAGATAAAATTTAAAAAATGACTTTGTTTTAATGAGTTCCTGCTAATTATATTTTTTCCGTAATGTTGAAATAGAATTTAGCAGAGTTACTCAATAAACAAATTTTCTCTCAGCAAATTAGGCACAAGACAACCTTGCTTTGCAAACTACCCAATTCGGGACAGTAATAATAATAATAGTAATAATAATAATAGTAATAATAGTAATAATAATAATAATAATAATAATAATAATAATAATAATAATAATAATAATAAATAATGCTAATAATAATAATAATAATAATAATAATAATAATAATAATAATAATAATAATAATAATAAATAATGCTAATAATAATAATAATAATAATAATAATAATAATAAATAATGCTAATAATAATAATAATAATAATGCTAATAATAATAATAATATCATATCAATATTTTTATAAGTACATGTACAAGGTATACAAACCTAGCTGACATCAGTGACATATTGCTATATAGAATGCCGCTTGTTATGCTGAGTATTTCCCGCAAATTCGGTTAGTTTTGCCCCAGGATGCGACCCACACCAGTCCACTAACACCCAGGTACCCATTTTACTGACGGGTGAACATAGACAACCGGTGTAAGGAAAAAAGCCCAATGTTTCCACCCTTTCACCTGGAATCGAACCCAGATCCTCACCGTGTGAAGCGAGAGCTTCAGCCACCAGGCCAGTTTGTCAGACATTTTTCCTCGCCCTGGTGTTGACATATGTATTAATATGCACACAAATGTTTGAGGTATCACTTATAATGAAACTATTATGATGCTGATCGTAGTGGAATCTAAATTGTAGTGAAACGACTCACGGATACTGATTCAACAAAGTGAAAGTGGATTTTTTAACTAAAAATGTGGAATCACACACAGTGCCACATACCCAGGAGTAATGTTGTTACCATATAGACCCAGGTACCCATTTTATACTGACTGGTGAACAGGGGCAGCAGGTGTCTGATTGAAACACGTCCTAATGTTTTTCAGCGAGAGTCCTAATATACAATTAAGCATGGTATAAACCTTGGTAATAAATACCGAAGTTAGAAGTGATCAAGGTCCCAGGACCGAAACGTTTTCTAATAAATATGTTATAGTGTTTGCTTACGTGTCTTTCTAAAACAATTAAGCATATCTATGTACAATACTAAGAAAAAACTGCATTAATTATACAAAATAAATACAGCATACACTCTGACAAACCTCAGTGACAGTAGTTGCAGAGAACACTGAGGTGTCATAAACCCACTGTGAGCAAGATGAAGTTGAGTTGGAAAATACATCTGGTTGACATTGTTCAGTAATATTGTTGTTGAGTGTCCAGACATGACACTGGTCACCCTCTGGGATGGCCCACTCAGTAAAGTTCTCCTCGTAATGGGTGCTGTTATCATCACAGTTTGGCACCACACATCTGGGAAAATAATGTTATATATTAATTAAATATGGCATTGAAATAAACACCGGCATGCTGTACATAAGTGTAATATTCTCTATCTCTTCAAGTAATGTTTGCAGAATTATGCAAAGTTATATTTCTAAAATCTACAATGTACAAATAACCGGCTCATAGAAGAAAGAAGCTTATGGTGATGTTTCAGTCAGACCTGGACCATTTATAAATCACACTGACATACGATGGTTGTTATTTGATTGATTCGTCAGGAGCTGCGTCCTGACACAGGTCTTAATCCTATGATGACCCGTCTGAGGTTCTCGAAGATGTTCTTTTAATTTAGCTCTTTAGTGGCCGCTATCATGGTCTTGTTATAGTTCCTGTGCGTTACACAGCAAAACATTTTATGTGCTACAGTGGGGTGAGGTACTCTGGCCCCCTCCATGTTTGTCTCTGGGCCCTATGTTGGATGGTCAGGTAAATTTACAAATATACTAAGAATTCAGTTTTGTTCATCATACATATATTCATGAAGGTCTTTACAACAGTTCTGAATGTCTGTTTTTTTTTCCGAGCCTATCAGATCGCATATATCAGTAAATCACGTGAGTGTCGACATCATTTGATGGCTCTGAGCATCACATGATAGCTTGCTCTGTTTCTTCTGGCTACAGTGCTCTTCCTTGGTGACTGCTGCGGTGTTGCGGATGACACGTTGTCTGTAGTCTGTTCATGCATCATTGGCGTCCGTTGGCTGCTGTTGTCGGGTAGGTCAGGCAGAAGTATCAAATGATAGCTGGGCAAGGGCACGACCTCGTCGCTGATGCTTCCCAGTTTCCTTCATCGCTGTGACTGGGAAAGTGGCCCTGAATTACGTGTTACTGTAGTCTCCTCGGGACGAGACTGTTGTTAAGTGGTTAGGGCTTTACTTTATAATGCAGGCTGGATAACCGGGGGTTTCCAGCCTGTCCTGACACAGTGAAGCCTCTAAGGGCTGGTATGAGAATATATATATATATATATATATATATATATATATATATATATATATATATATATATATATGTATATATAATATATATATATATATGTGTGTGGTGTGTGTGTGTGTGTGTGTGTGTGTGTGTGTGTGTGTGTGTGTACTCACCTAATTGTACTCACCTAATTATGGTTGCAGCTCCTGGCCCCGCCTCTTCACTGGTCACTACTAGGTCCACACTCTCTCTCTCTCTGCTTCCAGAGCTTTGTCAAATATCGTCTTAAAGCTATGTATGGTTCCTGCCTCCACTACATCACTTGTTAGGCTATTCCACTTCCTGACGACTCTATGACTGAAGAAATACTTCCTAACATCCCTATGATTCGTCTGAGTCGTCAGCTTCCAATTGTGACCCTTTGTTTCTGTGTCCCCTCTCTGGAACAACCTACATTATCTGTTCCATGCAGTATTTTATAAGTCATTATCATGTCTCCCCTGACCTGCCTGTCCTCCAATGTAGTCAGTACGATTTCCCTCAACCTTTCTTCAAAGGACATACCCCTGAGCTCCGGAACTAGCCTTGATGTAAACCTTTGTACTTTCTCCAATTTCTTGACGTGTTTGCCCAGGTGTGGGTTCCAAACTGGAGCTGCATACTCCAGTATGGGCCTGATGTACACAGTGTACAGTGTCTTGAACGATTCTTTACTAAGGTATCGGAACGCTATTCTCAGGTTTGCCAGGCGCCCATATGCTGCAGCAGTTATCTGGTTGATGTGTGCCTCCGGAGACATGGTTAATGTTATGGTCACCCCAAGATCTTTCTAGATGAGCAAGGTTTGCAGTTCTTGGCCACCTAGTCTATATCCTGTCTGCAGTCTTCTTTGCCCTTCTCCGATCTTCATGACTTTGCACTTGGCAGGGTTGAATTCAAGAAGCCAGTTGCTGGACAACGTGTCCAGCCTGTCCAGGTCTCTTTGAAGTCCTGTCTGGTCCTCATCTGATTTAATTCCCCTCATTAACTTTACATCATCTGCAAACAGGGACACCTCTGGGTCTATCTCTTCCATCATGTCATTCACATATACCAGAAATAGCACTGGTCCTAGGACCGACCCCTGTGGGACCCCGCTCGTCACAGGTCCCCACTGTGATACCTCATCCTGTACCATGACTCGTTGTTGCCTCCCTGTTAGGTATTCTCTGATCCATTGCAGTGCCCTTCCTGTTATACGTGCCTGATCCTCTGCACTAGTCTCTTGTGAGAAACTGTGTTGAAGGCCTTCTTGCAGTCCAAGAAAATGCAGTCAACCCACCCCTCTCTCTCGTGTCGCACTTTTGTAACTTTGTCATAGAACTCCAGAAGGTTTGTGACACAGGATTTGCCTTCCATGAATCCGTGCTGGTAATCGTTTATAATCTTGTTCCGTTCCAGGTGTTTCCACCACTCTCCTCCTGATAATCTTCTCCATGACTTTGTATACTATACAGGTCAGTGACACTGGTCTGTAATTTAGTGCTTCTTTTCTGTCTCCTTTTTTAAAAATGGGAACTATATTTGCGGTCTTCCATACCTCAGGCAGTTGGCCAGTTTCAAGGGATGTGTTGAAGATTGTGGTTAAAGGCACACACAGTATATCTGCTCCCTCCCTGAGGACCCACGGGGAGATGTTGTCCTGTCCCATTGCCTTTTATGTATCAAGGTCAGTTAGCAGCTTCTCCATCTTCAGTTGTGTGCATATCGTCCAGCATCTGTTGGTCTATTCCCTGTTGGTGTCCCCCTCTGTCCTGTCTTCCCAGAGTCCTTCCTATCTCCACTGTGAATACTTCCTTAAATCTCCTGTTGAGCTCCTCACATACCTCTTGATTGTTTCTTGTGAGTTCCCCACCTTCTTTCCTCAGCCTGATCACCTGGTCTTTGACTGTCGTCTTTCTCCTAATGTGGCTAAACAGCATTTTCCGGTCAGACTTGGCTTTTGATACTATGTCATTTTCGTACTGTCGCTGGGCCTCCCTCCATATCTGTGCATATTCGTTTCTGGCTCTTCGACTGATCTCCTTGTTTTCCTGGGTCCTTTGCCTTCTATACCTCTTCCATTCTCTAATGCACTTACTTTTTGCCTCTATGCACCTTTGGTCTTCCCATTGTTTCTGTTGCCCTAGGGAACAAACCTTTCCTCTGCCTCCTTGCATTTTGTTATTATATACTCCATCACTTCATTTACTGTCTTTCCTACCATTTCTCTGTCCCACTGCACCTCCCGCAGGAAGTTCCTCATACCTATGAAGTCTCCCCTTTTATAGTTTGGTTTTTCCCATTCGACTCCTGTTACCCTTTCCACCTGTAACTCTATGTAATCAAAACTCAGGACTACGTGGTCACTAGCTCCAAGGGGCCCCTCATATGTGATGTCTTCAATGTCTGAGCTACTCAGGGTGAACACAAGGTCCAGTCTTGCTGGTTCATCCTCCCCTCTCTCTCTGGTAGTGTCCCTGATGTGTTGATGCATGAGATTTTTCCAGTACCACATCCCTCAACTTGGCTATCCATGTTTCGTGGCCCCCATGAGGCTCTAGGTTTTCCCAATCGATCTCCCTGTGGTTGAAATCACCCCATAATCAGTAACTTTGCTCTGCACGTTTGAGCTCTTCATGCCACCTCAGCCAGTGTGTCCACCATCGCTCTGTTGTTCTCATTATATTCCTCTCTTGGCCTCCTGCAGTTCTGTGGTGGGTTATACATCACAGCAATGACTACCTTATGTTCCTCAGATTGAATTGTGCCTGCTATGTAGTCCCTTCCTCTAATCTCGTCCATGCCCTCCATTTCCTCGAAACTCCATCGGTTTTTTTATGAGCAGTGCAACCCCTACTCCCCCTCAGCTCTTTCTATCTTTCCTCAGGATTTCACATCCCGGTGGAAAGACTGCGTCTGTTACTGTCTCAGTGAGCTTCGTTTCTGTGACTGCTATGATGTCCGGGGACTTCTTGTTGATTCTTTTGTGCCATTCCTCATATTTATTTGCTATTCCATCTGCATTTGTGTACCACACCCTCAGCTTCATGTCTGTCACGGTGGACCTGGGAGAATATTGGGGTTTGGGGTGGGAGCCCTGGATGGGTTATGGGGGTTTGTTGTGTGGGTGGGATTTGTGGTCGGAGGTGAGGGCAGAGAGAACTGTGTGGGTGTTGGTTGAGATTTAGCTGCATTGGGGTTTTCATAGTGTGGTGTGGGTTTGTGGTGGGGGGTGGGGGCAGAGGGAACAGTGTACAGGTTTTGGTTGAGGTTGTTCAGTTGCTTTGGGGTTGTTGTTGTTGGAGTCATTCTGTGGGTGTCTCTGTAGGATGTATATGTCCTTCCACCTGAGTCTGGGTTCTGCTTGTCCTCATCAATGCCTCCCATTCCTCCTTTCGTTTTTGTACCCTCTCTCTCAATCTTGTTCTTTCCTCTTGTGTTCTGTCACGATCGAGGTACATGCTCTGGTACTCTGATGTGTCCCTCAGTCGTGCTTTCTCACGCAGGACCCTGGTTCGAGCTGATTCTGCCTGGAAGACTACTTTGACAGGCCATCTCCTTCTGCGTGCAAACCACACAATTCTCTGAAAATTTGCCACCTGGGTCATGTCTCCCTCTCCTATTGCTTTTGAGATACATTCGATCACTGTTCTCAGCATAGTTACTGATCCCCCTTACATGTGTTGTATAGCTTAACTGAGTATCATAGTACCATCCATGTGTTTTATATAGAAGATCCCTACTAGGCATAGTGACTGTTTGTGTGATGTCACGGGATGCGCATGTGTATGTGAGTACCTCTGTAACTTCCTCAGTCCATGCTTAGACCTACCAGGCAGTAACACGGCAGGTTGGGTTCCCTTACCACAGTCTGACAATATATAGTGTTACCATCCACAAGTGTGTTTATCTTCTACCATCATATCTCCTTTCGAATACCCACGAGAAATTGGTGCCAGTGGTGTGGGCGTAAAATTTATAATTATGCCGATGCACAGAGATAAATTCCCTTAGCCAACGATG